TGCTCCTCCTTTGCCGTGGAGCCTCCGCTCTTGTTCCTGGCAGACAACCACAGAGAGGATTGAAACAGTCAACCGTTTCATAAATCCTTCCTCTTCTCCGGGAGACACCTGGCGGCTGATACTGGCACTGTAACGTGTCCAACCACTCCTTGTTGTGGCGTATCCGGGTGGTAAACCACGTCTCGTCGACATAAACCTCCTCCCAGTGTCTTTTGAGTGACCGAAGAGCTTCACTACGGTGTTACACATCGGAGGATTCCCTCCTTCCTGTGAGGTCTCATGCAGAAACCCCATGTTTCTGAGGTTTCCCCTGGGAGGACGTTTGCCATCTCCAACTCTTCCCTCAAAACATCAAACGCGCCATGTGTTTCGCAGGGAATGGCACTATCGGGGGAACTGTCAAGGCGAGCGGTGTGGCGAGGGGGTCGGCGTCCCGGGCGGCGCTGATGGCCGAGGACGCGAACTCTTGCTGCGCTTCCATGCAGAGTTCACTGCCATGACCTTGGCCTTCGCAACACGATCGTGAAGCCTGCGTGGGAAAGGCACACCAGATTAAATAAAGTGCATGGAAACCAATTACATGATATCTTAGTATGGTGTCTTGGTCTAAATAAGAGAGAGAGAGAGAGAGAGAGAGAGAGAGAGAGAGAGAGAGAGAGAGAGAGAGAGAGAGAGAGAGAGAGAGAGAGAGAGAGAGAGAGAGAGAGAGGAGGGAGGAAAGAAGTGATTTGTGCACGTCCATGAGTTATGGAATTAAATAAATAGTGACTTTTTAGATGCAGATGGCAATGGTAAAATGTTCAGAAATAATAAAAATAATAATAAAAATAAATGTGATGGACGAGCTACTGAATGTGAAATGAATACTGAAGAGAGATATTGGCAGTCCTAGAGCTCTCGTTTGAATAATGATTATATTGTTTATGCTTGTTTTAGTTCATGCCTGAAAAAAGTAATTTTGTTTTCATTGTTACATTAGTGCATTTATCTAGATGAAATAAATATGATCGAAGTTTCACACTGTATTAAATACATTATTGTTACAAGTAGAACTAATATTTCATATCCTTTCTTCCGTTTTAGTATAATTTCATTTCTATATGGTCATAGTAGTCATTCTCTTGTGACACCTTTCCCTTTCTATATTATACAACACACGAATCGGAAAGGAAAAAAAATCCAGCAAAATTTGTTTTTTCTAAACTTAAGCTAAAAATATATTCTGTTTAACATACTCCAAGAAGATAAGCCTCCAAACGAAACCATATACAATAAAGTAAAAAAAAAGAAAAAAGATACTCCACTTAAAATGAAGTTTCGCTATAAGACAAAGGAAAAAAGCAATAGAAAAGAAACTGAACTTGCTGGTTTTGTTCTGCATTGAAGAAATGGCAGTTTACAAGGAACATTAATGTAATAACAATGCCTTTATATATATATATATATATATATATATATATATATATATATATATATATATATATATATAGTTGTATGTGTGTGTGTGTTGATGTGTGATGTGTGTGTGCTGAAGCTTGATTGAGTTATCGTTCTTGTTGTCTGACATCAAAGAATATATACCTAAGACGGATATGGATATGCAAGGGAAAAAGGCTGTAGTAATACTAATTGGGTTCTCAGCATATTCTGTGACGTCATAACGCAGTCCGACAAGAGATGGCACTTGCGTCGCTTTTCTGTGACGTCACTCTGTCGACAGGAGGACATTCTACAAGTAAATTCTTCAGAAGATATTATATTGCATTTATTCATCTAAATTCTTCTCTTTAGAAAGGATGAATAGTTATATATTATCTTCAATAGAATATGCTTGCAGAATGTCCTGTTGGATATCATTCTTTCCTCCTGGCAATAAAATTGTTTAGTAAAATGCTTAGTGTTCTAAAACTAATATCACTGACTTCTAGCTATAATTTGATGTGAAGTGGTGACCGCCCTCTACAATTCCTATACAGTTCTTCATGACTCTTTTTATTATTATTATTATTATTTTAAATTAATGACGACATTTTGCCATATACATCTAAAATGTATATAGTGGTGAGAGATCTCCAAAAGATAGCTGGCATATACCATGTGTACCTGCGCACTCTCACTATTCTCTACTGATTTTTGACTCCACTACCTGTCTCTGTCCTTGTGAAAATGGTATAAAGGGTGTGTATCCTTCCTCCTCTTGCAAACACGTGGGTGGGATGTGCCATTTTCGAAACTCGCGGCCCCGCCCTAGACATGCTTTGTCGGTCGTCCAGCTCACCGGTGCATACAATTTTCGTCTGCTTTGCGAACATTTGAAGCGCGGGAAGTAACACCCGCAGATTTGCGGACCGCAGCACGCACTCATGCGTGCAAAATGTTCGCAAAAATGTATTTTACGTTTTTTTCATAGTAAAAGGCTTTGTGATATTTGCACAATAAATAATGATTTCCTATGGTTTGAATCAATTATTATACAAATAATTTGATGAAAAATATGTGC